GTACTTTCTATTTAACTCCGTCATTTACTTATTCATCCTTATAGTCTTTCCTGCATTAACTCAGTTTTTTTTCTAACCAGTTTGCCATGTATGTGCAGTTTCCGACATTGGGTATATAAAAACAAATAGGAAGAGCTCCCAGCCTGCGAGGAACTCACTACCTAGTGAATATTCACTATAAGCCATAAGAACCCCTTTCTGTTCTATAGCCAAATGTTGAGCCAAATCTATTGCTAAATCTCCGCAGAATAGCATGGCCATTATTGCCTCGCCATATGTATGTCAGCGCCTGACACGCTTTTATAAAAGGTAGGAGGCAATTCTCTTTTTTGCTTCAGCAGATTTGACATCTTTCCCCCCATTTTAGCCTGCTGCAGATTCAGATGGTACAGATAGAAAGCCCTGAAAGTGTATACTTGTGCATTTTTAAATGTCCCCTACTACACTCTAACCTCCCCCTGCTTTCCAAATGTTGCCATTAGTGGTTACAATAATCATCTGTAATGTTAGCTTCTAAGAACCACAGTACAAGAGCTTCTTTTCTAATTCCCCAGATGGGAAGGAACACATGTACAAGCCTGTTAGAGTTGCAGAAACTAGAAACAGTACTGTGTGGATTTGTATTTTTGGAACTCTTTGGGCTTATTTAAGCACTCCAAGTCAAACTTAGATATCCATTAGGAATCAAATACCAATTCAGGGGAAACTCATGTGGCACACCAAGGCAAGTAAATTATATTAAAAGTAGTCCATAAAAGGAACTCCTGGAAACAACTATTTTCCTATTCAGACTACAGTTTCATGTACTGCTTGCAGGATGCCAGATGATAAATGTTGATTATATAAACCGGGGTCATTCCATTTGTTTAGAGGACTGTCTCCGAGCATTTTTGTTTTTTGCTTAAATAGAGCAGTGAAATGAGAAGTTAGAGAGTAGGAAAGAGAAATAATTATAAATTATCCATAGGTGTATGGAGTGAAGCTGCTAATTAAAAAGGGTTTCAGTTGTCCCTAGTTTTTTGCAGTGTCTTGTTTTGTTTTGTTTTGTTTTTTAACCAGGTTTTGTGACTTGTAGTTAGAGCCTTGACCTTTAATAGGGAAATGCAGTCACTGAGGGAAGATATCTGACAATCAATGTTAGTTCTTCTTTTATCATCTTACTTTGAGGTGAACAATCTAACTCTAAAGAGAACTACTCGTATACTTAGATCATAAAATGAATGTCTCTCTGAATGTGAATTTTTTCAGCTTCAACTTTAGTTTTAGATATTTTATGAGTTTTAGGGTTGTATTATATAATTACATAGTTTCTGTTTGTTGCGACTGTATTTTTTAAAATTTCCATCCTCATTTTACAGAAAGGAATATTCAAGGTTGAATACTTTATCATCTGTAAAAGAGTAAGTAATGATAGATAATTTCAGATTCCCAATCTTGGTTTTCCTTTTGAAACCACTAGTTCTAGGGACCTCGGTATATTATGGGGGACAGGAGCAGGGAGTCAGTACTGAGTTTCCAGATATCACTGGTGAAACATTTGTAAAGCTGGTTCTTGAAAACCGCTAGGTGTGGAGAATAAAGGTTAGAAGTTAACATTAATTTGTTTACTGCTGTACTCATTTAGCAAACATCGAGTGATTTCTGTGTTCTAGGCACTGTGCTAAGGTCCTCCTCTTACATACTTCCTAAGTCATACTACCTAAAACTACATTCCAGAGGTATTACAAATCTACATGTAAAAATACAATGTTAGATGAAATGCTAGGGAAATAGTTATATAACCTCAGAGTTACTGACCAGATTTAACTCTGTAGAAAGCTCAGTTTTCTCAGGGGCGCCTGCGTGGCTTAGTCAGTTAAGCATCTGACTTCAGCTCAGGTCACAATCTCACAGTCCGTGAGTTTGAGCCCCGTGTCGGGCTCGTGCTGACAGCTTGGAGCCTGGAACCTGCTTCAGATTCTGTGTCTCCCCCTCTCTCTCTGCCCCTGCCCCACTCATGCTGTCTCTCTCTCTCTGTCTCAAAAATAATAAACATTAAAGAAAAAAATTTTTAAAAAAGCAAGCTATATTTTCTGTGCTGTTGTGAGTCCCTAGACAAAGTAAAATGTCAAAAGCTGGGCTGAGAGAAAATATTTATAACACATGTGATAGACAAGAGTTAACGAACCTAACAGACACCAATAACAAGAAAAGTCCAAGAGTCTTTAAGCAAAATGGGCAAAGGATTTGATCAGAAAAGTTACAGAAGAAATGACCAGTAAGCAAGTAAAAAGTTGCTCATCTTTAGTCATTGAATCTCAGCTGAGCTACCATTTTCTGGCAGTCAGACCGCCAACATTAAATTGAAGAGTGACAACAGTTAGTATTATCAGGTTATTCAGGATGAGCAGAAACAGGTTCTCTCTCTCATGCTGATGCAAATTCCTGGTCCAAATGTAAATTGCTGTACAGTTTTTAGAAGAATAACCCTACACTGTTAAAGTGTAAAATGTTCATAACCTTTGATCCAACAAGCTCGGTTTTAGTTCTTAATTCAGAAATATATGTCCCACTGGAAAAGAATATACATATCTTTATCCGAGGATATTTATTGTAACACTGTCAAATGGCTAAGAAGTACAGACAACCTGAATGTCTGTTGCTAGGGGAATGGTTAAAAAAAAAAAGAACGAAATCCATGCCATGGAATATTATGTGGCTATTTGGGAAGCAGTTGGTAGAGTGATAGGTGTAATACAATTCCATTAAGGGAAACAAAACAGAAGGTTAAAGAGCTATTTATTTGCACGTGTATGTATGTGCGTATGTTTTTGTGCGCCTAGAAAAAGCTGTTTGAGGCCACATACACAGCTAGTATCGGTCACCTTTAAAAGGGAGGGTAGAAGAGCTTTCTTCTTTCTAAACTTCTGTATGGCTTGACTTGTTACAACAAGCCTAAATTTTGTAATGTAAAACCAAAAAACAACTGGGAAGTAAAAGAGGAAAAAAAAAAAAAGAAGAATGAAAAGGGAGGGGGGCGTGTCACAGAGATAGAAAATCAGGAGAGCATAGTTTCTTACAAGTAAGAAACTGAGTATTTCCAGAGGAAAAGACATCATCCATGTCAAATACTGTTTGGAGATCAAGTAAGATAAGGACAGAGAAGCATTTGCTGTGTTTGGTGGATGCCTTGGTGGGGGCAGTCTTGATGGGCTGGGGGGTGGGGGGAGGTCAGAAGGTTAATCTCATGTGCTAAGGGATGAGTGGGAGGGAAGGGAGTAGAGACCAGGAGTGCAGACCATTCCTTCAAGCAGTCTGTGATGGAGAGGAGAGAGGAGAGAGAGGAGAGAATGCAAGGGGTTGTGTAGAGACCAGCACGGTTCTTTTCTTTCTTTTTTAAAATTCTTATTCTAGGGGCGCCTGGGTGGCGCAGTCGGTTAAGCGTCCGACTTCAGCCAGGTCACGATCTCGCGGTCCGTGAGTTCGAGCCCCGCGTCGGGTTCTGGGCTGATGGCTCAGCGCCTGGAGCCTGTTTCCGATTCTTTGTCTCCCTCTCTCTCTGCCCCTCCCCCGTTCGTGCTCTGTCTCTCTCTGTCCCAAAAATAAATAAATGTTGAAAAAAAAAATTTAAAATTCTTATTCTAAATGGGAGAGACTTCTGGTTTTTGTCCCTTTGTATCCCTGCCACACGTGCATACTGTAGGCACAATAAAAGGCAGAGCAAGGATGATGTCAGAGCTGAGCTGGCTGGGTGAGATGACCAGCTCCCCACGATGCAGGAAAGGAAGGGGTAAGGTTAGTTTAGGACCGAAGGAAGGACATCATATCTGAGGTTCTCAATGCTCATGGGCAGTAATTCTTGAAGTCTAGATTGGGACCCTCCTAGGATGGCTGCTGAGCCCTTCAGAGGACCTTGAACCAATCCAGAAATACAGGCCAGTTCTTACCAATCCTTATGGGTGAAAGATGTGTAATCCTATTAAGTTTTTAAAAAATTTGTATTTGACTTAGAGCCAATACCAACCAAAAGTAAAATTGTCAAGGGTTACTAAAATCTGATATTCACAAAGTAAAACCAGCATGCTACTAGAGTTTATTCTAATTCAGTAGTTTATTCAGAAGTCTGGCAAACACTTGGTGCTTGGCAATAATTGCAAATATGTAAAACCCACAGTTTTGAGTCAGGACACTTCATCAGTGTTGGATTGAGTTGGTTATGACATTCAATTATCACTATTCTTGCTTTTTGATTATAAATTACAGGAAGTTTAGCTTTATCATTATCAGTTTTGTTTATTGTGGGTTGTTAACCTCTCAGTGTTTCTTGGTGCATATTTGGATCAACAGTGTTTTTGTCTTATATTATTCTTATAACCAGGCTTTTAAAATATGCAAGTCTCGTAGTTCATGTATGAATCATCCATAATCGTTTTGCAAAGGAGATGCGTATGTAACCCCCTGCCATTTGCTTGTATGGCGGCACAGTTCATAGCGATGTGTTTCTTGGGAACTTTTGCTATTTAAATAACTTACGACATACTACCAAGGTATATACAATAAAATTACTGGGCATTTTAAGATTTTGTTGTGGTCTTATGATATAAATCATGTTCATCACTCCTGTTTTTCCTATAAAAAGAAAATTACAAGCCATCTACGTGTATTGTAGAAATTATGAGCTGTTACACATATTTTTAGCAAAATGTTTACTATGACTTTTTAGCTATGTTTTTGACTAATTCTTGGTTATCACCAGATTCACTTTTCCCCTCTTGGAATGTGGGAACAAATGAGAAGGTGGGAGTCTTTTCCTCACCATGGTGGGCTTTGATCAGAAAGGCTGAGAGCCATCACTCTAGGGGAGTGACTGGCACATGGTGAAGGATGTACAAAGCTGCTTAATCCGAATCCAGGTAACCCACACGCTGTGGCCTCAATGCCAGTGGACTGTGAGCTCAGCACCAGGAAGATGTTCCAAGAGTAGGCACTGATGACATCGTGTTTTTCACTCCCTACTCAAGGATGTAAACGAAGACCCTGGAGAAGATGTGGCCCTCCTTTCTGTCAGTTTTGAGGACACTGAAGCCACTCAGGTGTATCCCAAGCTGTACTTGTCACCCCGAATTGAACAGTAAGTATCAATGTCATTAATTTTCTGCAGCCTGGTGTTTCTCTCTGTTAGCCAAACATGTCTCGCTAATTCTTTTGCCCCTTTGGAACTCTTAAAATGATTTCTCTTTACTGACTTCTGTTTCCTTAAACATGACTCGTATCAGGAGGTTAGATTGCAGAGTAAATGTAGTCAGTATCTGCCACTGCAATCTTTGGATGAGTCTTAGTTGTGCAACTTGTGATATGAATACTGTACCTTTGTAGAGAGAGATGAGTAGGCAGACTGAATCCGAAATTGCAACTCCTTCCAAATGTTCCCTGGGTACATATGGTTATAGCCTAAAGAGGACTACTGAACAGCATCCTATCCAGTTTCTTACGTTTTTGTAACTAATATAGTTATTGGTAAAAATGTAACTCGTCTCCTGAAAATATTAAGCAAAAACATATTCAGAAGTTAATAAAGGTAATACTAAAAGCAGATAGCTTAAGAAGATGACACGTTTGAATTACTTTTCTGTGTCTAAATAGCGCTGTGTCATTTTACACAACTTTCAGGCTCTGTGGTACAAGTAGTTTGATAGCACATTTCTGTTTTTTTTTAATTTTTTTTTTCAACGTTTATTTATTTTTGGGACAGAGAGAGACAGAGCATGAACGGGGGAGGGGCAGAGAGAGAGGGAGACACAGAATCGGAAACAGGCTCCAGGCTCTGAGCCATCAGCCCGGAGCCCGATGCGGGGCTCGAACTCATGGACCGCGAGATCGTGACCTGGCTGAAGTCGGACGCTTAACCGACTGCGCCACCCAGGCGCCCCAATTTGTGTTTTAACTAAGTAACTTTACTCGTCAGGAATGAATTTTACAAGGACTGGCCTCACAACGTGCTTATTGTTGGCTCACATGCTTCAGAAGCTTATTCTACTTCAAAGGAAGCTGAGGCTCATTGAAAATAGATTGTAAGCAGATTTGGATGGAAACTTCTGACAGGATAGATTTCTCATCAGCAGAGAGAGTTTTGAACAGACTCTGATTGAAATGTGTTCTTAAAAGTCAGTCAGGGTTGGCAGATTTCTGCCTGTGAGATGTGGTCGCCATCCAGCATTCCTATACTGAGTCATTTTTACCCCTCTGGCCCTTGTTGCTCTACTTCATGAATCATGGCCATCCTATCTTACACACTGATACAAGATACAGGTGTTTCTACTCAAATACGGATGACTGTGAGCATCAGGCATGCTCTCATTTATTTGTATACCACTGAGAGCACCTAAGACAGGATTTTACAGTAGCAGGTGTTCACTGAATGTTTTAACTTGTAATCGAAAATACTAACCCACGTTGGTAAGAGGCCAAAGAATGTTGGAGGCAGTACAGTGAACTGCCAATAGGCAAGGGCTCTCGAGTCAAGCATACCTGCTTTAAACCCAGGTCCTGCCCCCTTACCAGTTGTCAGAATATGTCGCACCTTTGAACTTGCCTCAATTTAGGGATGGCGATACCTATTTCAGAGTGATATTTTGAGGATTATATTAAACACTGTTCTTAAGGCATTAATTGCAGTGCCTGGCACTATAGCAAGTGGGAGCTATTAATGTTATTATGATTATCAATACAGTTCACAAGAGAAGAATGAGTGAGTGAGAGTGCGTGGTTAGGACAAGTTGGGGCCGAAAAGGAGAGGATGGGTAATAAATGAGCAGATACCAGCTATAAAGTAGTCACTCTGTATGTACATGCTAAGTTAAATTCAGAAGGTATTTTGGTGATGAGAAAAGAGAGATCTCAATGAAACAATCGCAAGATGTAGGTAATAAGAATCTATCAGTTAAGCTGCAGACAGGAATTTGCCAGCTCAGAAGAATGATTTTCCCAACACCTACATTACTTTTCTTTTAAGTTACTGTACCCGTTTGCAAATAAGCTTGCTAATAAAATATTTCTCCCTCTAAAATCTAAGATATGATGTGATGAATTATCAGTGAAGGTTATATTTTAAAAGTTAATTCCTCTAAAATCTAGCTTTCTGCATGTGTGAGTGGGGGAGGGGCAGAGAGAGAGAGAGAGGGAGGGAGAGAGAGAGAGAGAGAGAGAGAGAGAGAGAGAGAGAGAGAGAGAGAATCCCAAGGAGGCTCTGCACCATCAGTGCACAGCCCGATGTGGGCTCGAACTCACAGAACTGTGAGATCATGACATCGGCCGAAATCGAGAGTCAGACGCTCAACTGACTGAGCCACCCAGGTGCCCCTCACTTGAACTTCTCTTAGCTTACTGTGCACTCCCGGCCATGTGCCTTTGCTAAAGCTATTACCTCCATGTACAGTGTCTTCTCTAACACCCTTTTTCTGTTGAAATAGACCTCTCCAAATGCCGTCTGTACCATTTTTCCTGAGCACCATTGGGCTGCCTTCTCTGGCCATTCCCTGAACTCTTAGAATACTGAATTTATACCCATTAGAATCTGCTCAACACAGATTTAGTTAGTGATGTGTATTTGTTTTCCCATCTTTTGCTAAACTGCAAGTTACTCAAGGGCAGGAACAAGTCTTTTCGTTTCATTAATGGTTTTACAGAAAGGTGGCACATGGGGAACAGTAGCCTGGTTGGCAGTATTTTAAAGGCTCGACACGTAATTCTTACAAGAAAAATGGAAAATGCTACACTGAGAGCTCTTACATTTTTTTCCAGTTGATACAGATTAACTTAGTAGAACTGCCTTCGTAATACCATTGAAAACTGCCAAAGTTCTGACCTCCTTGAGTAGAAGTTTTAAAAATGAGTTTTTTAGAAAAAGGTTAAAATGGAAAGTGGTCAAATTGTGGTATGACTTTCTGAGGGCTTCCATAGTTACTTAAAGTTTTTAATATCTTTGGTTAACTCTTGCAGAGTTGAGAGTACACATAGAACAGAAGTGGTGTCATTTCAGTAAGGCCAGCATCGTAGGATAGATTTTAAGAACTGAACGAGGAGAGGTTGGTACTGGTCTTTGATACTGTGTGAAGCTCTCGTTAGTTTTCCATGGTTCGTACCATCCTGTCAACTCTGAGCCGTCCAAACATGAAGTATGGCCTCGGACTTGGAGAGTGCTCTCAGGAGTCATGAGGAAAGCATCCCGTGTGGACCCGCCCAGAACCGGGGCCAGACGCTCGCCCTGAGCTGAGTTTGTTACTCCTTTTGGCTGCTGCTATGGTTCTTTCTAGGAAGTCCCAAGCCCCATGCAGTGCATGTGACAGACACGGATCTGGGCAGGACCAGTGGCCTGGTCCACATTAGGTAAAAATTGGCAAGAAGAGACTTGCATTCTTACCACTCTGTGGGCCTGGAAAGATACGTTGAGCCTGGGACATAGTGCCTTTCAGTCTGGCTGATGTCCCTCTGCCCCTGCATGCAACGGGCAGGGACACTGTGCTTACACTAACTAGTCTTAGAAAAGGGAAAGGCCTCTTTGGGTCTTGTCTTCATATGTGCGAAAAGGGATCAGTTTGCTGTACCCTAAAGATTTCTAGGGACATGGTTCCCAAATGTCCCCACATTAGACAGTCCCCACAAAAGGGAACATCTGTCAGAGACATCGGGTGGAAAACTTCCTGAGTGTATTATAATTAATGAGGCTCTGAAATGCAATCCCGCTTCAGAAGCCTGTCTTTTTGCCCAAGGCCTGGAAGAGCGGTCTGGTGTTTCTGGCAGCACTGGAACATGACTGCACGCCTTTATGGTGTTTAGATGTATGTTGTTTCCTGATCTCCCACCGCGCACGTATATGTTGTTTCCTGATCTCCCACCGCGCACGTATATG